AAAAAAAAAAGTTATTTTCTTTATTTAATTATATCTATTTTACTTCCAAGAATTTGTTTTAAAATACGAGCTATTTCTTTTTGTTGTATAATCGAACAATGATTTTCAATTGAAAGAATAACTGGATAACTAGAGTAGAAAAATTAATAAACAACTATTAAGATTTGAAAAATATCGATTTATGAAAAGTTACGGTGATGCTTTGAATAAATTTGGTTCAATGTATCGAATGATTGATTCAAAAGAACATGGTTTAACAAAAGTAAATTTATGTGTTACTATCGGTTGACCATCATCACCATCATAACAATCCATTTCAACTACACGACAACCAGAACGTAATGCTCGATTATATGCTTCAGGATTACTATCACCAGATACTTGACTATCGAATAAATAACTAGAATTATATAAATTTATTTCATTTTATTTATACATAACATATCGAAGAATCATACGTATTGTGTGAAGCGTTTATATAATAATCATTCAATGGTCTGAAAAATAAGAGCAAAAAATATAAATACAATCAAAAAATAATTTTTGATGGATGTACCTCGTCATATCATGATATGGTCGACGAGAACACCACGGTTTCATTAAAGAAAAATCCTCGAATAATAATAAATTTCGAAAGCCTATAATTGAATTATATATCTTAACAATGATACATTTATAAAAATTAACAAAATTCGAATGACCTATAACTGACTTTTATATTGTTAATAAAACATATGATATATCTATATAATTTAATCAATCTCTTATTTTTAGCATTATACAAGTTACATTTTGACTCGATTTTAACATTCGACAGACAATACAATGCTGTATTTTTCAGTAATTTTCTTGGAATTTTTTATCATTCGGAGTCTCAGAAAATGAATAATTTATTTAGAACAGTACAAACCATCAAGACTAAGAAGACCTTTTTCTTGTAATTCAATATTTGGTTCAAATTTATTAATTAATTCTTGTACTTGTTTGTACATCGTAATTGGTTGAACTGTGAAATCTTCATTAAATTGTTTTGATGTGTAAGTTATAATATTTTGCTATTGAAAACGAAAAAAATTTTCTTTTTTATATGAACAGATAAAATTAAATTAACTTACATTTTGAACAGTACGAAGAAAATATAAAAGTTCATTAATATTCATACAAATTGTTTCAATTGTTTGTTCATTAGCATTTTTCACATATCTAAATAAGGATATATCAATTGAAATGATAGAATTTTTTCTATTCATTTACTTTTGCATTATTTCATAGAGATCGATTCGACGAGCAAGAACATGAAAGAAATTTATAAATTCATCTGGAGTCAAAATACCTTCACCATTTTTATCTGTTTCCTAAGTAATACAAAATGATGACCAAGGAAAACAAAAAACAGCTTTTAAAGCAATTCTTGTGCGATTAAAATATGAAATACGATGCAGTTGTTGGTGTTAATCACAAAAAAGAAATTGTTTTATTCTATCTATTTTGGAGTACCTTTCTTCATCATTCTTTTACTGAATTCTCGAGAAATCCAATAAGGAAGTAGTTCATATATTTAACGAGATATTATCAATATACGATTTGTAATCGTATATCAACAACATCTGTCACAATCAGTAATGCAAGGAAGTATTTCTAAGGTAAACTCTACTTTGGTTGAAAGATAAAAATATTGAAAACGAAACTGAGAGATGAAAATATGGTTGTAAGGGTGAAGGAATTTCTTTCTTCATACTCTATCGTTATCAATATGAATATCTTTCGATATTTCTATAATTTTTCTTTTCGCTAGTTTTACTTTCGACTAAAATTGAGAGATTCGTTTTTAACATATCTGTCACATCTGTGAAGAGAGGGAAGTCCGAATTTTCATTCCTATATTTCAATCCTCATTTTCGATTATGTCTTGCAAAATAACATGAATAGATTTGTCCTACTTGGAAAAGCTTTTCAAAAACATCTTCTGGTAGTTCAATATTTAATGAATCGGCTAGTAATTGTTGACATTCAGGTTTAGTGATGGTATTCGATTTATCTTTATCACCAAACCGTAGATGGCTTAAAATCCAGCTAATGAAAAGAAAATATATACATTAAGATAATAAATAATTGATATGATGAATATATTTCTCACTTGGTATCATGAATAATATGTCCTTGTCCTTTTGTTGTATGAAGATCGATTAAATACTGCAATCCTAGTACCCATTTATATCTTGTTTGTTCATCATTTGTCATTAAATGAAGTTCATCCCGATAATTATTGTAAAATATGGAGAATGCGAGTTTTTCCTAGATATTATTCTTTTCAAAGATAAATATATATATATAAATAAAAACATATGTAAGCAGATAGATTCCATATCTCTACAAGGTGTATTGTATCAACGAAAGAAATTCATAAGACGAATAATAGTCGAGTTTCATTTGAAGAATATAAGAAAAACAATGAAAAGATGTAATTAAAATATTTGTCAACGTCTATAGGATTGGCTTTTAATATTTAATAAAAAATCTCAAACAATTGTTGAAATTATTAAAATGAATAACTTACATCGTCCGAATGTACAATCTGTTGTTTAAGAAGTTCACCAAATGTTAATGTATGAAAGCCAGTTCGAATTTCATCGATTTCTCGAATGTAATCTATATTCCAAATACATAGATAAATGTTCTCATCAAGAAAATATTGTATGTACCAATTCTTTTGCAAAAAGAAAACGAAAAAGAAAAAGAACATTGTACTACTTATATCGACGTGATTGAGCAAAAATTTTTTCCGATTGATAATATGAGATAAAATCTTCATGCTCATCAAGATAAAAACGACGTGAATACTTTTCTCCATTACGTTTTCGTTTTATTAATATTGAACCAATTTTTAATTCTGTTAATATACGATTTAAATCTTCAATTTTCTTTAAAGACATTTTATTTTTGTTTTATGTTGGTTGCCTGGTTGTATTGATTATTAAAAAAGAGTAGAAGAAAAATTGACGAATAGCAATAAAATATTAGTAACTGACGTGTTTGTAGGGATTCTCTTGTACGTTTATATAAGTTTTTAAAAAAAAGGCTCAGTAAGATGAATAAAATACTGGTGTTTAAACGTTGCATAGAAAAAAAATCTATGTGATTAATTAATTTTTATTAACATGTCTATTCTATGAACGAAAAATAAATGTGAAAAATAAATTATATTTAAAAAATTAGATTGAGAAAGTAATTAAAAAATTTTCAGAGTAAATATTATTAATGAAGTCACTCGATGAGAACAATGTATCATGTATTAGTTTATCTCGTGTTTTCAGCATTCAAAAGTATGAATATATTTTTTTTTATAGTCTTCTTTGGATACAATTTTTCATCAAAATATATAATACAAATGAACTACAAATAATTTTTAGTTGTTATATCCTTCAATCATTACTGTACTTACTTTGTTTTACTACGATTATATTCTACTTTATTTTATTCTCACATTTTTCTTTTCCTTTTCTTTTTATGTTATTTTAACTTTTTATAACTCCCACTTTGTTTTTTTTTTTGATACTTATAAGCATTTATATATATGTCACCAAGCAGTGACATAATCAAACAAGAATTTGTGATGACGTCAATCATGTAAAAGAGATTAAATGTTTCATACAGTGAATATTCTTTGATACTACAGTCTTTCAATGATTTATTTATATAGTTAAATAATATGATAAATAAAAGTAATCATACAGTTCTATAATTAATATTATGATTGAATATAAGTTAAGTTTTTTTTTGAAGTCCTTTCAATCCAAGCTGAATTTGATTTTCATCACTATCTCCAATACAACAATAAATTTGGTTTTTTTAACAATTATAAGAAAACATTTCATATATTTTAAAATCTATACATTAGAGAAATATGTTATCGAATTACATTAACTTACAGTATCTATAACAAAAATAAGTATATATAAAACATACAACACTGGATTTTAGTTCAACTTAATGTTTCTCAATAGATTTAATATTATATATAATTTGTTATACACCCTTGAAATGCTTTTTATGTAGAAAGTTGATTGTTGTAAAGATGAATTTTCGTTGCTAAACAGTCAAAGACTGATTCTTTATTGAATTGAGTTCGACAAGCCGATATCACGCTTTGTTAAAATAAGAAAATTTAAAAAAACGTTTGATCTTGAAAATAATTTAGTTATGGTGCAGACTATAATGTACTGACACAAAAATACACAAGTATCTATTTCTTCAGGTGCGAAAAATATTTCATATATTTTATCTAGCGTAATATCTGCTTATGAATATTTTCATTTTTTCTTTTTCTGTTGTTAATAATATGCTCGAATGAATAAACAGTACGTATAGTGTCTCGACCTTGCAAATGAGAAAGTGATTGATAATATCTTTCTAATCATCGACAGTTTAATTGCAAGAATTTTGATTAATTTTAGTTATTCTGATATATCAAGCTATTTAAATTTTAGTAGACATTGAAAATAGAACATTATTTATGAATAATGATCTTGTTTTTATTCAAGAAAAGTAATTTTTAACTCATTTAGATTGATATCTATAGTGATTCTAATTGAACATGGTCACATGGTCGTTTTTTTTTTTGTTAATAGATAAGAAAAATAGAGACAGAGTATAGTTTTTTTTTTCAATGATACGTTGACATAAATGGGAAAATAATCGATTTATTTTTATACCTTCACCTATTTGAATAGGTATAGTTTGAAATATATTATTCTGACGGCTTCATTTATAATAATCGAAGTCATTGTCAGATATTATTCTTTTCCTTGATCCATTACTGTTTACTTCGACTTGATTATTATCTGATAAACCTCACGTGTGTGCATACATATATGTTTGAGAAAAATGACAAAGTTTTATTAATTTATGTAGTTATCTATCATACACATTTATTACTTGGCTTTTCATGAAAACAAATCAATAGAGGCAATCTGTTGTTTTCTTTTTCTTTTTCTTTTGATATTATATGGTCACTATATATACATATATATACTGTATTGTTATTTTTCGTTTGAGCTTGACGTTAAACGTACGAAAACCCTCGATCGACGTCGGTAGGTGATATTGACTGGATACACATTGTAAATGGGATAGGTTTTTTCTAAACGGTATTTATTCGTACATTGGCGTCATTATTTAACTCATTACTGATAATTATTAGATTGCAAAATACATAAATCAACTCACGCGATTTATCATTTCAAGTAATGAAGAATCAACACACGAAGTTAAGCACAGGGAGAAAGACACACATACACATAAATGCATCTAACGAGGTAATTAGAATGGCTACCTCGCAGGTAACATGATTGTCCTTATCGATGATATATAAAATAAAAACGCACATATACTTACGGTATGCATATGCAGTAACCAATGTGACTATAGCAATTACTGCTGTGCATATCAAACCAATTATACTCTCTAAAAAAATTATCTCAGGTATGTCTGTTTTGTATATTCGTTTTGTTCACACATCACTTGTCTTTTTCCTATTCTATGACCTTCTTTTCATCATATCTTCTATCAACGCAGACAGATAACCATGAATCACATTGAATAACATAGATGGCCTTTTTCTCTTATCGCATTTTACTTTTTTCAGATCAAAATGGTATAATAGTAGAAATAAATGAAATTCTGTTAGTATTAATAATATGTATTCGAATTCAACGAGTATTCTTCCACCTACTCCATTTATTTCATCACCTATTCAATTTTCTGATATCAATGCAGCTGCACAACAACAAAAACAACAACAACAACAACTTCGTTATAATTTACTCAATTTTAATGTTTCCGCAACAGCTGGATTAATGTCTCCTACACCATTTTTAGTTTCATCTAATAATATAAATAAAAATGGAATACAACCTTCAACTCAATTATTATCTCAAACAAATGAATCATTACAATCACAATCATCACAATCTAATATTACACCATATACTAATTTAAATCATTCTCATATTCAACAAACTCTTATTGAGAATCTTTATAATAATGTTCTTCTACGTGAAAAAAATTCTACTCAATTTTATGATACACGAAAAAATCGAAAACGTTTATCTGAACCCGTATATATCAATCAACAACAATCACATCAGCCAATAATAATGAATCATCAGCAAAGTACTATTCATCCAACTATACAACAAAAGCAACAACAACAACAACAACAACAATTAGGTCAGACAAATCCTAGTCTTCCACGTGATGCAAGTAATCATTCATTAAGTCGTCGTCGTTCATTACGTCTCAGTAAACTACCAATGATTCTACAAACAATACCTCAAAAATCATCTCTATCATTGCAACGTGAACCACAAAAATTATTAGTTGTTCGTCATGCTGAACGAGTTGATTCAACATTTGGTATTGGTTGGCTAGATCAAGTATTTGATAAAGCAACTGGAACATACCGTCGAATTAATTTAAATTTACCTAAAACAATGGTTACAAGAAAAGATTTGAAAGATTTTTTATTTGATCCTCCATTAACTGAATTAGGTTTACATGAAAGTAAAATGATAGGTGAAGAACTTGCTGCACAAGGTGTTGAGATTCATTATGTCTACGCATCACCTGCATTACGTTGTGTTCAAACAGCTGATAAAATTCTTGAAGGTCTTCGAATACGTGATACAAGATCAATTCGTATTGAACCATGTCTTTTTGAATTTCTTAAATGGTATTCTGTTGTACCATTAAAATGGCCATTTCTTGATTTCGATGAATTCACAAGAAATGGATATAATATTGATAAATCTTATAAACCATTTCATCCTATTGAAAGTCTTAGGAAAGATGAAGATGAATTAATGTATTACACAAGAAGTCATGCTACTATAACATCAATTTTAAAAAAACATGAAATTGATGGAGGAAATTTACTTATTGTTGGACACGTAAGGATTAGTTAAGTTTATTTTTTTATAAGAAAAAAGAAAGGCTTTTTGTTTTTTAAGGCACCAACAATTGAAGTATGTACTCGACAATTGACCGGTGGTCAGCCACGTCTTAATGATTTGAAATTTCTTGTTTTACGTGTTCCTTTTCTGTCAATGCATTGTGTTGCTAAACAACCTGATGGTACATGGAAAGCAACAAAACCACCAATATCACCAATTAAACATGCAGCTGTTGAGCCGTTTGATTGGCGATTTTTTCGTTAAGAAAAATCAAATCGATTCACGAACATTCGTTATTAGTGCATTCTTTTTTTTTAAAATATATTTTAAGAAATAAATGAAGAAAAGTTTATAAATTAAGTCAACAAATGTGTACTTGTCATACACTTACAAAACATGTTAAGTATATGTTATAGTATAAAGAAATAGAGCAAAAAAAAGATCTTTTGAATCTCGAAAAAATATTTTCAGATTGTCTATTTAATTATTTGAATTACAAATTTCTGTGAGTTTTTTCAAGAGTATTTTATCTAGTACATTGAATATGTATTTTACATTAATTAACTCGTATGATCAAATAGGTCAAAGATATTTTTTTGTTAACGTGACATTTCAGATATAAAACGTGATTATTTTACACGTTTTTGTTTCAATTCAAGTTATATTTTTCATTCACCGAATAAAATTGATCTTTCATATAGATAATTTACTTTATATTGAAATTAATAATTTAATTTCCTGTATTTTTGTTTTACAAGCTTGTCCTTTTAAGTTTGTATAATTATCAGATTATTCTAAGAAACGCAATGGCCTAACAAAAAATACATGCTTCTATGTTTTTAGACATTTTTTCATATAAATATAACCAAGAAACTATATTTCTGAAATTCTAGTGTTTTCATTAGAAATATTTTTACTTAAAAAAAATAATTACATTTTCTATTGAAATGGTAGAAGTTATTTTGTTAGAAATTTTCAATTAG